TCTCTCTCTCTCTCTCTCTCTCTCTCTCTCTCTCTCTCTCTCTCTCTCTCTGATTCTCTCTGTCCCTAACTTTACACCAGAATTTCAACGTTGTTCCGATTGTTTACGAGTTGGATTCTCTATCAAGAAGAAGTCAGAATGGCTACCAAGAGGAAAAATGCTTTTTAAAAGCCTATATTAATTATCATTTTGTACCTGTGGACATCAGGCTGTTCTTGGAAGACAACCTCTTTGGGCGCTATTTAGTGGCGACCTGGTGTGCTCACATAGACACTGAGACAAGCCCAAAACATACGTGAGGCAGCGTGGTGGAATCAGGCTCTCGTCAAAACAATCAAAGTGAAGAAACTTGCATTTTTCAACAGGTTTGTGAATTTTTATCAAATTTTTATTTTTTGGCTCATCACCTTTCATGCCCTTTAAAGAACTCATTTCTGGGTGGATTTTTCTGAAACACGTAGATTAAAGGCGCAAAAATGTAAATTTTCAGTTACCACAGACTCTTAAGCTAAGGAAATAACTTATCTTTGGCACCATGTTCTCACTAATTTTGCCTCTGAAAACAGGTGACCCCCACCTCTTTCATTTGCAAATATCTCGACTTGTATTCAAGATAAATGGATATTTTTTTCCATCCAAATAAAGACAACTGAACAAGCTTGAAGATGGTACCAATAACTCTACGCGCCCAAAAATTGACGAGAGCCTGATTCCACCACGCTGCCTCACATACTGTAGGATCCTGTTTGTTGATTTTTTGTCAGCCTTTAATACTATCCAGCCAGCTATCCTTTTAAAGAAGTTAGAAAACATAGGTGTTAACGTCAATTTAATATCATGCAAAGGCAATTTTCTTACCAAACGAACCCAGTATGTAAAATTAAAACATTCCCTATCAACATACATCACAACAAATACAGGTGCCCCTCAAGGATGTGTTTTGTCACCAGTTTTATTCACACTATACACGAACGATTGCCAAATACAGAACAGAAACATCAAGTTGATCAAATTTGCGGATGATTCAACCACAATTGGGCTCATTCAGGCTGACCATAACGAAACCGCTTACCGGAATGTTGTTCTTAACTTTTCTGAAAGGTGTGAAAATCATATTGAAGCTGCTGTTAAATGTAAAAAAGACCAAAGAACTTGTTATTAATTTTAGAAAAAAGAAACTGCCCCTGCAGCCACCAGAAAATTAAATGTGAAAACTTCGAGCAAGTGTCAGACTATAAGTATGTGGGTGTTACAATAGACAACCAACTCAACTGGCGTGTCCACACTTCTCTCCTGCATAAAAAAAAGTGAACAAAAGACAATATTTTTCAAAGAAAGCTCATGTATTTTAAAGTTGATAAAACATTGATGTCCATATTCTATCTTTCAACCATAGAAAGTGTGTTCAATTTTTGTATAACAGCATTGGCCGGGAACACAAGACAACAAGATAAAGAAAAATTAAATCGACTAATACGGAAAGCATGTAAAATTTCAACATCTACATTCCCCTACTTGGATGAATTGTACATGACAGCTAGCACAAAAAAAATTAATTCCTTCTTTTTAGATAAACAAACATCCCTTGTTCCCTCAAATAAATACATCAGTCAGAACTAAAACACATAGGCTTCTGATCTGTAGCCAAGAAAGATTTAGAAGGTCATTTTTACCAACATCCATTAAAATTCTTCCATCTTAACCATCTTGTATAGTATACTTACGACCTTAGAGCTTGCATCAGAATAACATTGAGTATGTATCTAGCTTGAGATTATTATTGTTTATATTGCTGCTCATTTATATTATGCTTGTGATTGTAAGCCTGCGTGAGTGTGCATGTGTGTGTGTGTGTGTGTGTGTGTGTGTGTGTGTGTGTGTGTGTGTGTGTACACGTGGTGAAACACCAAACCAATGTGCCAGGATCTGGACAATAAAGATGTATCTTATCTTATCTTATCTTTTATACCATACTTGGAGTTGTTTCAGCATTGCACTTTCTGTAAAATATATCCTTATATTTCACGTGAAATATGGGCTGACTAAGCTGATAACTCACACGTGAAATATAAAAATTTGCATAAATTACTCCGCGCACTATATTCGCCTTCTTCTTCTATCCCTCTGTAGTAGATCTAAGCAAAATAGTAAAAACTTAAAAACTTCGCTGCGAAGCGCGCTCACCATGGGCACCGAAACAACACACACTAGATCTAGTCTCCCAGTCTCGCTTGTCCAGTATAGATCTAGCCTAGGTGCAAATCTTTCTGCGTTGTCCTTAATTTTGTTTCAAATGATGGGCACCATAATGAACCGGGATGGATTACATCAGAGTATGGTGCTGTTAGGTTCAGTTCATTGAGTAGCATCATTTTCTCGAATAAAATAATCATGTCGTGTTCTAATGGGTCATCATAATAATGTGACCTGTCAGGTGCAGTTAAAATGCCCTCTTTCAACTTAATTAGTAGGCTACAACTGACGTTTGGGAATTGCTTTTAGCGTCCAAAAATCGTAGCAGAACGCCAGAAAAACTGAATACACAGTGGGTAGCAGCCGGGTGGGCAGTGGACACTGGACACACTAGTGGTGGGCGGATTTGCTATTTGGTTTGGGATTTGCTGGTACTTAGTGTGAGTGAGACTATCCAAAACCTGGAACCCCAAATCCCAAATCTTAGAATAGTAATAATAATAAGAGCATTTGTATCTCGCCTTTCCCCACAGCATGGGCCCAAGGCGTACATAGGAGATTAAAAACGCATTCAAACGCATTCATACTAACACCATACAAATTCATCATGTGCGCACGTTTTGACAGCAACATTCTTTCAGACAATAAAAATGCTCGTACAGAAAGGCAAAGTTACTGTCCATTAATTAAAATATTTCTTAAATAGATGTGTTTTGAATCCCCTTTTGAAAGTATCAAGTTTTATTTCGCTCCTCAAATCATGAGGGAGAGTGTTCCAAACTGTTGGCCCAGAAAAAGAAAAAGCTCTCTCACCATATTTCTTCAGTGATACACGAGGTGTTGAAATTAATCTAGAGCCACTGGATTTTAGTTCACGTGATGGTGTGTATGGTACAATGAGTTCTTGAATGTATGTGGGAGACTGGTTAGTTTGACCTTTAAAGCATAGTAGGGCTAACTTATATTCAATTCTCGCTTTCCGTGGAAGCCAAAGGAGCTCTTTAAGTAGGGGAATCACATGATGGCGTTTTGATTGCTTCGATACTAGACTGGCAGCATTGTTTTGAATGCGTTGGAGTTTTGCAATTTTTTCTTTAGGTAGGCCAGCGAACAGTGAATTGCAATAATCAATGCGTGACAAAATGAAGGCAAACACTAGTTTTTTTGTGGCATCAGTGCTTAGAAACTTCCTTATGTGAGCAATTCTTCTCATTTCTAAGTATGAAATTTTACATAGATGGTTAAGTTGGGTCTCCATGGACAAGACTTTGTCTAAGAATACTCCTAAATTTGTTGCTTTGTTTGAAAAAGCGACAGTACCTTTGCCAAAGGTGAGACATTCTACATCAAGAGCATTTATTTTTGAGCTGGTTGAGCATGGCATGATTTCTGTTTTGTCATCATTTAATTTCAATTTATTTTCAGTCATCCATGCTTTTACAGATTGAAAACATTCTGAGGTGTCTTTCAACAGAGATTGAATTTTGTTGGGTTTTGCTGACTTATAAAGTTGTGTGTCATCTGCGTACATATGGTAGGGCATGGAATGGTGTCTGATGGTACGACCAAGGGGTAAGGTGTACATAGTGTAACACAGGTCCTAGTACTGACCCCTGGAGCACACCAAATTCCAGCAATTGATGACAGGATTGAATGCCCTCAACAACAACAAAGTATGATCTATCACAGAAGTAAGATCGAAACCATTCAAGTACGAGGCCAGATATTCCGAACATGTCCGACAAACGACTCAACATGATCTTGTGGTCTAAAGTATCAAAAGCTGCAGACAGGTCTTAAAGTGAGAAAATGGATATCAAACCATCATCTGCAGCATTGAGTAGCTCAGAGACAATTCTGAGCAAAGCAGTTTCAGTACTATGGTTTTCTCTGTATGCCGATTGAAATGACTCAAATAAGTTATTCTTTGTGAGGTGATCTTTAAGTTGTGCAAGAAAAACTTTTTCCAAAACTTTGGAAAGAAAAGGTAAGTTTGATACTGGACGGTAGTTCTTGAGGTCATTAGGGTCAAGGCCAGAGGTGAGATAGATGCTGTTTTAAAGCATGGTGGAACTGTACCCTCGCTTAATGATGTGTTTACAATTAAAGTAATAACATTAATAACATCGTCAATATGACTGTGCAATAAGTCAGTAAGCATTGGGTCTAAATGACAGGATTTTGGTGGGCATGCCATGACAGTGTCTTTCACAAATTCACAACTAACTGACTTGAACGTTTCAAGAGGTTCACGATCAAATGGTTCAGACATTGGGATGTTACTTGTCTTGTTCTCTGAGTCCAATCCTTGCCGAAATTGGACAACCTTGTTATGGAAGTAAGTACAGAATTTGCCTGGCAGTGTTTCCATTGGAACATTGTTGGGCAAGATTTTTGTTTTGGCTTGTCCACTGAGTTCTTTTGATATCTTAAATAAAGCTTTTGAGGATGGACATTCAACAATTTTTGCAGAATAGTACTTTTTCCTATCGGTATTAGCACAAGATTTCACTTTATGGTTAAGCTGTTTGAACACTTGCTTGTGAACTATCAATTTGTACGAAACAAAACAAAGTTTTGAAATATATGCTGGCTTCACTTCTAAACTGAAATATCTCAAAATAATATTCAAATACTACAAAACCTTGTATGTAATAAGTAAACTGGTCCCTCAAAAAAAGTGCCAGTAAATCGAATAAAAACTTATCTCACGGACTTGTTTCCCCTTCATCTACGACAATGCTAAAATCAACTTACGACGCAAGGACTATCTAAAGGGGGGGACACTCCTACTCACTTGGCTGGTAACTGGTAACTGGTACTGGGATTTGGGATTTGCTCTGCGTACCCAGATTTTATTTAATGTGATATAACAAACGATTTCTACTGGGCCTTGGCACTAGTAAACAACTGGTCGCTTTTAAGGACAAGCGGGCTAACCTAAATTTCGGGGGTTTCCATAAAACTTGAGCTACACCAAAAGTGGGCATTGCCCTAATTATAGGAGAAGTTTGGTTTCTTTGGTGTTTATATTGTGTTTTGCTATAGAAGAAACTCTCCTTGTCTTTTAAAGAAACTGAACAAGGGGCAAAAACTAAAGCCTCAGTTTTCTCGAAAAGGCATTTTCCAGGATAGCCCCCTTGTGCTTAAAAATGACTAACTGTACCTTGACTTCTGTAGACATTGTAAGCATGCTACTGAGTAAAATTTTGGCTCTTAAATTCGAATCACACTTCGGTTATTTTTCCTTTCTGCTGGTCAGTTCAATAGTATATTATTCTTTGTGCTGTTGGTGACTTTAAAGATAAGTAGTACTTGGAACATCTATCGGACAACACACAGTCTTTCCAGGAAAATGTCGTGATCAAATTTGAGCAACATTTTTATTACGTTCCAGCTTTAGAAAGAAGATGAGGTTCTACTCCAGTAAGGAAATCATTTTGGTTCTCCTAACACCTATGTCTCAGTTCTCTTTATATTGAGCATGTCGTTCAAAATTTCTCTGAACTTTGAGCTCATGTTATAATATACAAATATATTTACAGTAGAATTGGTTGCCACCAGACAGAGAAAAATGACCCATGTGAGGACAAACATATTCTGATATCTACCAAGAACACCGTACTCGTCAAAAATAACCGTTGCAATGAAGTTGACTGCGCTCGGTAAATAACATGCGATGAATACACTTGAAATGAAAACTATCATCTTGACGACTTTTGCATCTCTTTTCGAAAAAGATTTCTGTTGAACGGCGCTAGAAGACGACTGCCGCCATTTTGACTTCAGAAGAAGATTGTGAACGAGGATGATCGTGCATGTGATGGTGGCAAAGAAGGAAAAAAGCTGAGAGAAAGCATTGATAGAAAGTGAGACGTTTTCGATAGAGACACCGTTAGATATGTAAACTAATCCGATCTTTGTCGCGTTTAATTGAGGGAAATACTTGGGTCCTAGACCGATTGCGTAGTACACAGGTGCAACGCTAACAATCATAGTGACGTATATACCAAGAATTACGATAACAGTATTTCTCGGTGTTATGATAGTTTTCACTTTCAAGGGCAGAGCGATGCACAGACACCTCTCAAAAGTGACAAAAGCCGTGATCCAACTGGAGATACGGGCGAAGCAGAGGCTGAGCCAGCCCGTTGTTAGATAACTCAAGTCGTGGTAGTGGATGGGCAGATCAGCTTGGACGAACCAAGGGTTGTAACAGATGCTCATCCCAAAAATATTCACCAACGTTCCCAAATCGGAGATGGCCAGAAAAAACAGAGTAATGTTCACGGTGTCTTGAAAGCCTTGCTTGAAGAATACTATTGCGTTGATGGCGTTGAAAATTGTTCCAAAAAAACAGATGGGCCCCGCAGCGGCCACCAAGAAAAAGACAACGAAAATATTTAGAAGTTCATCGCTCACCCAACCTTTCTCGCTAGACTGGGAGGGTGTGACGTGGCTGTGATTCCCAGAATCCATCTCTGTATTCAACGAAAGTGAGTTCTAGAACACGTTGTGATGATGACTTTAAGGACCACTGTAACCTGTTATAAAAAGATCAGAAGACAACACGTATTTTTTATAAAGACAAAATATGTTGCAACTCTTCAAACTCTGCTTAATAAGATCCCATTTGCCATCTGTGGAATAGATTTTAGTATTATGTTATGGGTGATCTGTTATCCATTATAATCCCAAAGTATGAAGAAATCTTGAAAATACACACAATTCTGATCCTCTGATCCTGCATCAGAAATCATTTGATTAAAGACGAAATTAAAAATATATAACAGCAATTTGGCTGCATTGACGTATGGTTCTGAGATATGGAAAAAAACAACTTTTTAACGAAAATTAAAAAAAAAAAATTACGAAAAATTCTACTAATAAAATGGAATGAATTTATTACAAATTATAAAGCATTGTAAGGAGCTGGAACTGAAGATATCAACAAAACCATGAGACATATTCTAAGATTGCGGAAGACGGGGAAGACCAACTAGAAGCTATCTATCTATCTATCTATCTATCTATCTATCTATCTATCTATCTATCTATCTATTTATCTATCTATCTATCTATCTTTCTGTCTGTCTGTCTGTCTGTCTGTCTGTCTGTTTGTTTATCTATCTATCTATCTATCTATCTATCTATCTATCTATCTATCCATCCTTCCATCAATCCATCTATTTATCTATCTATCTATCTATCTATCTATCTATCTATCTATCTATCTATCTATCTATCTATCTATCTATCTATCTATCGTCTTAATTTTTTAAAAAATTTATTTATTCAGTTTTAATCCAAATAAAATAATGATTAATAATTCTAGAAAACATGTTCTTGTGATAGGAATTACCATACCAAGTAAACGTGTGTTCTGTTTTATAGTTGTGGCGTATAGTCAATATTCTGACTGAGAGGATGCAGGGCGTTTCTGATCTGAACAAGTGTATTGATTCTCTCAATTAAAATTTGTACAGCTAGAAAACCATTCCTTGTGTCCTTGTGTATTATTTTTACGAAGTGCAGAAAAGATTGTATAATATTAATTCTTTTTCAAATGCTATGTTTATAAGTACGTACAAACATTCAAAGTGCTTCAAAATATATATCACTTTTTTAGATCACATTTTAAAACAAAATCTTTTAGCAAATTCTGATTAGATGCACAACGGGTTTTTTAAAGTTTTAGTAGAGGTTTTACGGTACTCGAAATTGCCTAAGGTCATATATGAGCGCCAGGAGATTAGAGGTGTTACAAGAGAGTAACAAACAAACAACGAGAGAAAAGAAGAAGGGGAGATCAGGACGATATATATTGATAGGAAAGAAGAAGCGGGTGAGAAATGAGAATGTTTGTTGACCTTTTCTTTCTTTACACATTCCTCTATTAAAGCGTTGCTTGTTCACGATGTACATTGTCGCTAAGCAGTCGCAAAACAGCAACTCAACAGTTCCATTTTTTTTTTAAGCAAACGTTTCACTTGACATAAGAAATAAGCTAATGCATGTCACAAACTATCAGTTGTCAAAGTCAAGATCATTTTCATTTGTACTGTATAAGGTTTTACCCGCCTATACTATAGATCTAAGGTTAATTTTCTTCCAAATGTATTGTCTGTTTCCTTTAGAACTGAGCCAGATGATGAGAGGAAACTACAAATGGTCGCTTTTATGTACAAGGGGGCTATCTCTTGAGAAAATAGAAGTTAAAGTTAAAGTATTTGGATCCTTAATTCAGTCTTCGTAAAAGACAAGGAAAGTTTTCTCTAAAACCAAACAAATTTACGCCCAATGAAACCAAACTTCTCTTATAGGTAGGATAATGCTCTCTTTTGGTGCAGGTCAAGATTTCTGGAAACCCCCGAAACCTGGGTTAGCCCGCCTGTCCTCAAAAAGCGACCAAATGTCCCAAAGCAAACCAAGTTCAAAAGGCTCCGATGAGTTTCAAGTAGGGGCCACCCGCTATGTGGAGTCGACGAAGTGAAGGGAGACAGGGAGACGGTTCTTGTGATCATGAGCAATGGCGAGAAACAGATCTATTTTATGCCAATAGACTTAATTAAACCAAAGACGTAGTCTGTGTTAATTATCAAGTCTAGAGTGCTAGAAATTGTTAATTGTTGAACAGAAATCCGATTGTCACAAATTAAATGTGTTGGTAGAGCGCTAACGATATAGGGATGTTCTACTTCTTCCGGCTCCCTCGTTCTTTTCGTTGGTTTTTAAATCGTTAAAATCTACCTCTTCATCGATCCTGCATAATTGCCTTTTTCTTGGTACAACCACTAAATTGCTAAAAACCAAAGGTACTAATAATTGTTACCCTAGTTAAAACACACCGCTAGTTCTCACTTCACATTGATCAATATGATTACATGTTCTATGAAGATTTGATTCTCATTGGAAAAACAAAGGTTAATCCAAAAAAAAATGCAAAGTAAAGGTCAATTCTACAAAACGTCAGATGCGCTCGTTGTCTGTTGAAAAAACTGGTTTTGACGTGTTATAATCTAGATTTCTTCGCTCTTCTGTTGGACCGCAGTGACTCAATGCTTCAGAAGGGATTTTAAAAAACTCTTAACAGAAACAAGCCAAACAGTCTTCGGTTATATAATTTAACTCTAGATATCTAAGTCCTTTTCTGCAGAAATTCGACCTTGGTACTTTCCAGTAATGGTTCTCTCATGTCATAGAAAAGTAGCCATCTTATTCACTATTTGGTATTGAGTTACTAAATTCAAAACAATTTTGCAGCCAAAGTTTCCGTTTCTGATTGACGAATACATCTAAGTCAGTGACCAGTGTAGACTGACTGACTTTATAGGAGGAAACGTTACGACGAGCACAAATTCAATTTTGTTAGACTTTTAACGACGTTGGTTGGAGTGTTCTTTCGCTCCCGGCTTCCTCTCTCTTTGTTACGATTTCTTAACCGTATCCGTACACCCAGGGGTCATTTTGTACCCCCGTGGTCGTATCCTTCACATTTTAGAATACTTCTAGTATCGGTACGAAGATCTCTTTGACACTTTCAGCATTTCTCAAAAAATCATTTTGACAGACTGTTGCTATGCAAAGCGTACAGATCGTATTAACGAGTGAATTTCTTTTGTAGAAAGTGGTGGCACAGAGTTCTCCACGTCATGGATACGATAGTAAAACACGACGTACGGATAGGGTTAAGTAGTGGCACAGAGTTCCCCACGTCGTATGGATAGGATAGTAAAACACGACGTACGGATAGGGTTAAGTGGTGGCACAGAGTTCCCCACGTCATATGGATACGATAGTAAAACACGGCGTACGGATAGGGTTAAGTAGTGGCACAGAGTTCCCCACGTCATATGGATAGGATAGTAAAACACGACGTACGGGTAGGGTTAAGTGGTGGCACAGAGTTCCCCACGTCATATGGATACGATAGTAAAACACGACGTACGGATGTGGTTACGATTTCATACAAGGCCGCACAAGATCTCTTTTCCACCCGTGCGCTAGGTATTTTTTTTAAACAGGTGAGTCTTTTTTTTTTTCTTCTAATATGGCATTGTACGCATGTTTTGAGATCCGTTGGGGTAAAAAAGGTGTTCACTATAAAACTAATTTATTGTAACAAGTTTGGCCACTATAAAAAACAACGTCTTTGGTGAGCTGTGACGTAGGCCATATATGCGTATGCAAAATGTGTGTGAGGGTGAGAAGCGGAAGGTGCTTTGAACTATCCCATTTTGCGAGTGTCGGAGATCTATAATATTTTATATAAAGTTACGAAGACATTTTTTTTTATTCTAGGCTAAATTGTAGTGGAAAATTTTGATTAAGTTAAGACAAATTGATGCAAACTGCAGTGCAAAGTACGGGTGACACTGGTTCATTAAAGAGGTATTTGACGATAAAATGTCCCACAAATTTTTGATCTGGCTATAAATTAAAGAAATACAATTCAAATGCTTCTTATTGAAAAATAATTCAAAAGAGACTTCATCACCATAAGTCCCTTTCTCACCCTGCATCAGGGTATATATAGGCCACGAACTAGGATTCTACATTTATTCATATTCTGAGATCAGATAGTTTCTTATTATTATTCCATGATTTTCAACTTTTCTGTACATAATTCTCTGTGACTCTTCTCCAAGTTCCATCATGTGACCTTCCTCTTGATCTCTTACCCAGGGGACTCCAATTCAACAACTTTTTTGTTTGTGAAACTTCCTGGCTTCCTGGGAGGATATCCATCCATCCATCGCCACCGTATTCTTCTTCCCGTCTCATCCAACTGGGAACTGTCTTGTTCTCCTTAACCCTATCCATACGCCCTGGGGTCATTTTGTACCCCCCGGGCTGTATTCTTCGCATTTTAGAATACTACCAGTGCGAAGATCTCTTTGAAACTTTCAGTATTTCTCAAAAAATCATTTTGACAGAGTGCTAGGCAAAGCGTACGGATCGGATTAACGAGTAAATTTTTTATTTGGAAAGTGGTGGTACAGAGTTCCCACGTCGTATGGATACGATAGTATAACAGGACGTAAGGATAGGGTTAACACTTCCTCTTCGGTGACCCTGTCCATCTGATTTTGAGTAACTTTCTCAGACACTTGTCCAAGAAAAGCTGGATTCTCTTGATGCAAATCTGAGATGCGTTTTACGTCCCACATCCAAAAAACGAGACTCATTTCACATTTGAGGTAAAAATTCTCAGCTTTATATGGAGCAAGATAACCCTGGTCCCACACATTCTAGGCAAATGAAGCAGCCTTCCGACGCGGGGCTTAATTTCAGCTCCCGGTCTCTTCTGCTGACCTGACTTTCTTGGGAATTTGGTAAATGATCAAATTTAATGTTGGGAGTTTTGCCGACCAAAGTGTTGAGCCTGGCGTCAGTGGCCTAGTGGTCAGCCTACCGGACTCGTCATCGAGATATTGCGGTTTCGGAGGTTCGAACCTCAGCCCGGTCCGACGCTGTGTCCTTGGGAAAGGCACTTTACACGAATTTCCCGCTTGGCTCGGTTCTTTCGGGGATGGACGTTAAACTTGAAGGTCCCGCCTCTAAGATAACCTAACAGTGTTGATTGGGGCGGCAAACCTATACCATTTCACCATTTTTTCAGTCGAGCCTTTTTTTCACATCTTTTAAGATACCAGTGAACCTATTAATCCATAAAGTCATATGGGATCGCTATGCTAGTAGTATTAAAATATGTTATGCTTATGGTCACTGAAGTTTGAAGATACCCCACGGGGTGGTACTACTGACTGAAGTGTCTTTAGCCATTCCCAAAGGAGGTGCATTAACACGTTCTTATGCACTGTAGAATTTTGTAAATCGGCTGACTTATCAATGTCATGCTCATACTGTGCCGGAACAACATACGG